TGTGTGTGTGTGTGTGTGCGAGAGAGAGAGACAGTTCTCCATCGATAGGATGACGAACGCACCAGGCAACAGGTAGGTCTCCAACCCCGCGTCCGGCCTCACGCTATTTCCATCGAGAGGATGAGCAAAATCGGACGAATCTACGGCTATAACATGGAAATATACACCGCCAAACTTGTTTGTTTGGTTCTGTGTGTGTGTGTGTGTGTGTGTGTGGGCGCCCACCTTCATGGCTGCCCGCCCGTCTCCCGCTGCCCGCTGCAGGTTCCCGCCACTGCTTCAAGCCGATGGTGTCCTGCGGCTGCCGTTTGGCGATGGTGTTCTGCCGTGTCCCTCCCTCCCTCCTTCGTCTGTCTTCCGCTTCTCCCACCTTCGTCACCCTCCCCCCGCTGCTCCCCGCCTTCGTTGCCCGCTTCAAGATTCGAATAGTATCGTATCTCCCTCCCTCCTTCGCGCCATCAAGATTCAAATGGTGGGCGGGCGCGCGTCTCCGGGTGAACTGCCGTCCCCCTTGTCCAAAAATGTTTTTGGGGGAAGGGTCTGCCGAATTCGAAATTTCGAATTCCGCAGGCCCTCCCACCAAAAAAAAATTCGCACAAGGGGCGCGGCCGGTTTCCCGACTCGCGCGGCCCGGCCGTCATTTTTGCCGCGGTGGGGGCCGGCCTTCCTACCGAAAACAAAATATATTTTTTTCCCCCCAAGACACCTAATTTCGGCTGTTCGGGGTGCCGCAGAGCGCTGTGCGGTGCGCAGCGCTATGTGCGCAACTCGTGCGCAAACCGGCGCAACGCCGTGCGCCGCAACTATGATGATAATATTACACTTTTTTTAGTTTTTGATTTTTTACTCGAGTTTGGTTGCGAATTCGGGGATGACTCCCAGGCACACGTTGTTTGTATCATGTTTCTGCATAATGTGATGACCCGTCCAAACATGGACTGAAACACACAGCTGATTGCAGAGTTTTGCCCATAGACTGAATGCCTTGCTGAGTTTCCCGCCTGCTACTAAGTCTGTGTGTGCACGCTTGCTGGACTGCATGTCTGTCTGAGTGATTGTTGGCTTGAGTGTGTGTGTGACCATGCCTGTCTGAGTGTTGGTTGGCTTGGGTGTGTGTGTGACCATGTCTGTCTGAGTGCTGGTTGGCATGAGTATGTGTGTGGCCCGTCAGGGCACTTGCTCGTTCGTTGGGCCCTCAGGGCCGGGACTTACCTGTGGCCGTGACATTGAGGGGTTGCAGCGGGGAAAAGCACTCAAGTAGCGCGTAGGCGGGTACTGCACCTGGAAGGGGTAGATGTGCAGGTACCGGAGGCCGAGCAGAAGAAGACAAAAGTGGCATTTTTAAGGGCCCAGTAGTGTAGGCTAGGTCTAGGCGGATACCAGTCTGAGTCTAGGGCCTGTACGGGCAATATCAGAGTCTGCAATGATGTTTCCCTCCAAAAAGGAGGAGGTACCTGTTGCTTGGGAGGCCAAGCGGCCTGGAAGTTACCACCCAAGAGGCAAAGCAGGCCGCTATATCTTCGGGCCGGGCGGAGAGTCTGGCCTCTTTTTCGGTGTGCAAGTTTGGCGACACACTGATGGAGCGCTGGCTGGAGCAGCGCTATGCTGGAGCAGCCCTGCTGGGGAGGAAGGAGAAGGACACGAGGGAGGAAGGAGGAAGGAAAGGGGAGGAGCGCCAGGGGTACTTACCTGGCTATGGTGGCAGCCATCTTCATCACCTTGGTGGGCGCTGCAGCAGGGAGTCCCCAACTGGGGAGAGCCACACCAAGAAGCTTCAAGGCAGGGTTGGGCATGGCGGCCTGAGCTAGAGCAGCCATAGCTGCTTTGGGTTGTCCTTTGGGCATCTGGGCAAGGCCTAGTAGTCCGCAATAGCCTCGGCCTATGAGAGTGAAGAGTGGGGAGGCGGCCATGGCTATGGTGGACCTCAAGTGATACCTCCAGTAGAAGAGGGACTCGGACATTGATTCTGGATCAGCCATTCAACATTGTATTATTATTTCTTGTATGAATAAGAGAAGGGGGAGATACGGAGGAGGAGATTGTTGGGCGAAGAAGAAGAGCCTTGTCAT